GCTGATTCTGATTTTGGTTACACTTACTATCAGGAGACACCAATTTCTGCAAGCAGAACATGTTTCGAACCGAGGGCTCAAAATGCAATGAATTTTACAGATGATCTCATCCAGAAACATCACTGGTCACTTGTCATTTGCCTTCAGCGCCAACAGATCTGCAGAGGATTCTGACAACATATGTCTGCAATATATATGTGATTTACTATACATATGAACATTTGGACTCTGTATCTGCATTTATTCTCCGGTTTCGCATCAGTGAGCTCAGTTAGTTGCTCTATAAAGGGGGCACACTTGGCTAACTAAAGAAAAGTTATGTAGAGGAACAATGTCCATTGCAGAAGTGACAAATGCATTAATTAATTAAGAGAATCTGTTTAATTATTGCGTGAGTAACTCCTGAGATTGCTGTGATTGACCCGAGGTGTTTCTAGCATTTGAAAACATCAGGGGCTGATGGTGAGGGCAAATGCTCATATATTTAGAGTACGACAGGCTAAAGGCACGTCTTAAGAAAAATGTGCTTTTCTCTACTGACATATGACTGCAGAAAAAAAGTATTTTTTTAAATAGAATATTGATATGTTTTATGACAAGTTAATTTCGATGCATCACTAGGAAATTAGGAGCTACATAGCTAAATCGGTATGCAAACTCTTTCAAGCTGAAATACAGTTTATTGTCCCTGTTGAAAAATCCAGCATATGCTAGTTAGGTATGTTTTGAAGCATGGCAGCTGGTTCTATCTTTGTGGGGACTCTCCATAGGCGTAATGGTTTTATACTGTACAAACTGTATATTATATCCCCTTCCACTAACTTAAAAAAAAACTCAATTCTGTATGATTTATAAGCTTGTTTCCTCATAGGGACCTCAATTTAGGGCCCCATAGAGACACAAGTTCCCATGAGTCAGTGTGTATTCAGTCCCCACCGGGATAGAAAAACAAGCACATATGCGCATACGCACAAACACATCGTTTGACATGTTTGCAAAAAAAGATACTTCCTTACAAAAAATTGCAAAAGTGTAAAATTGTTATAATAATTATATTATTATGTCATTATAAAACTTGGGAATGATATATGAGGCATCCTCTGCTGCCATCTAGTGGCATTCATGTTATTTTAAAATAACATAAATTCAAGTTATTTTAATTCTAAAAGGTTTTTGTTTTTTTTCCCAGTTGATGGCAGAAATCTTCCACAGCAGCACATTTGTTTTGTTTTATTCCTTTCTATTTTTATTCCTTTTTATTGATTTATTCCTTGTTTTTTTTAAAGAAAATAATTATTACAAATTGAGGCAAATAGAAATACCATAAATATCACAAAAATGCCCATGTGCACAGTACAAACATTAATAAAGTGAATGCTATTTCGTTTGTTTAAAAGATTACATTATGTTACATTCACATTATTAAATCACATTTTATCTGTCTGGCTAAGCTAGTTGGACAGAAAAAGGAATTTTGTCACCCTATGTGTAACAGCATAGCAAGCAACATAGCATAAAGTAAGTGATATTGGCCTATTTTTTTACGCTTAATATTATACTCATAACGAGATGCGTGATAGCTGCATACATACCTTTATTTATTTATTTATTCCACGTTTCCCCTTTTTCTATTTTAGGCTCCTGGCTTAGACCTTTTTTCCTTTACCATAATTTTCATTTGTGAACTGCATCTCCCCACGGGAAACCCTGAGGTGAGGAAAAGGTGTAATTAATGCATTCGTGCATTCTTTATTATTATTTTATTATTACCTAAATCCGCTACTGGTAGGTGTCAGACTCTGTGACCCAGTTTCTGTCTCCGGCGTATTCAGTTGATTTCATCCCAGGTGTTTCCCATGTTTAATTTCCAATGATCCCAGGTGTGTCTCCTTAGTCCCTCCTTATCCTGTGTTTAAGAGTCCTTTTAGTTAGTGTTATCTGGTATTGTTTATGTCAACTTTCTTGTGCTACGTGTGATTCCCTGCGATTGAAATAAACTCCTTGGTTTGTACTCCTGGTTTCCCCGTTCCGTGCTCCTCACAGTAGCAAACCCGTGACAGAATACTGGACCCAAAAGAAAAAAGCGAACGGCGACTTTTCTTCGCGTTTGTTTTTTCCGCCTTTGTACAAAGTTTTTGTTTTCCTTGTTTTCCCCACCGCGGCTATGGAAATTGCCGCTCGGTTCATGGCCCTAGCTCGCCGAGATCTCCTGCTAGTGGAGTATTCCTGGGAGTTCTGCAGGCTCGCCGCGTCTACGGCCCTCGATGACGCCACCAAATCAACCAATTCAGGACATTAATGCCAGATTCCACCTTGCAAGTCAGTGTGTGGACAAATCAAATGGCATGTTCACTGTGCTTAATGTTGCAAGAGGTCAGAGTACTCCTCTTCATGTCCAATACAAAACATGGGGAGAACAACAAAAAGTCTGCTGCGAATCAAACGAATGCCAAGTACACATGGAAGTAGCACAGAGGAGTGGTCTGTTATCCTATCAGTGTGTGCATGTCAGATCTGTAAGTTACTGCACATCCTCAGCTGAAGCAGTCTCTCTAAAGGAAGATGTTTTAACAGAAATGGTGAGCGCAAAGAGGTTTGGTGATGAGAAGAAAAACATATGCCTTGCTCGTCAACAGATGTTTTAACAGAAATGGTGAGCGCAAAGTGGTTTGGTGACGAGAAGAAAAACATATGCCCTGCTCGTCAACAGCTTGCCATTTCTAGCAGTGGACCACTTTCTGTAGAAACCTCAACTGGCAGCCCTCAAACAAAAAAGTTAATTTCCGTTTTTGAGCCAAATGTGTCCTATATTATAGCCGTTTGCGGCGTGTCATTGTTGTTTACAACACCAAATTAAACACATGGCACTGCCCCTGTTGCAAAGTGTGCCATTCGTGTCCGCATAAGTACATTGCGAAATGGCATCTATTTCAAATAGACCGTGAGCTTTTCCGTACTGTCTTCAGCAGAGAAGAATCACCACCCCAAAAGGCACATACACATTCAGAGGAGAGCAATGTCACAGAAGACCATCCTTTGTATCCTCCACATGATCTGCGACTGAAACAAATGGTGCAGTATATTCTACAGTACAAGAAGATACCTGCTGTCCTACCAGACAACATACGTGCACCATCACCAGGCAAAGAATACCCAAAATATCTTTTGTCCTGAAGAAACCATGTGTCAGAGATGCCCAGGTGTTGTCCCCCTCAGTGACCCTATTCTGATTACAAAGAGGGCTAAAATACTCTCCAACTGGGGCATTGTTGAAGGTAGGATGGTGTTATTAATATGCATATGTGCTATGCAATTACACTGTCCTCTGATGCAATACTTGTTTTGAATCATAGATGTATTAACCTACTGTAAGCAGTGCCCACTGTGTGGAATGTTTTATCGCTACCAAGAGTGGAAAGACGAACTCCACAACTTTAACGATCACATCCTCCTTGACATACATTTATGCCTAACCTTAAGAAACCTTCTACAGGTAACCTTCAATGTATGATTGTCTTCGGTAAGAACAGTACTTTTCAATGTGTACATTGATTTTTTTTTTTTTTTTTTTGTACAAGTATACTTGCATTACTTGTGGTGATCACCCCCCTGTGGTGATTATGGATTTACACAAAAAAGGTGTTTTACATTTATCAGGTATGACTACTGTGATGCTCCACTTGCTAATTGTTTACATTAACATTTATGTATTTGGCAGGCACTTTTATCCAAAGTGACTTACATTGCATTTTTTTTATCTGTTCATTGTAATTTGACTTTTAAAATAGTTTTCTCAGTTTTACCTTGTTATAATGAACTATTTTTACACTCTTTAGTAAGTGACATCCAGGGTCCTGCAGAGAATTTGACAGATGTCAACCTGGAAAAGTTTTGGGAGGCTATGTCCTGTGATATGATTGGTCGCGGATTTGTTGCAAGCATGAACATAGTGCTTTGTACATCATTGGAAAGCAAAAGGCAACATAATACAATGCTTTTTTGTTTTGTTTTTAGGTGGTAGACACAATCCATGTGCGGTATCACCATCATACCATTTTTGGGCCCCTTGGATAGGGAAGCACACACGGAATTCAGACTCTGTACTAAACACAGAGTTCGAAAAGATTCATGTTTCGAAGTCTGTATCTGAAATTTCTGAAATTATGGTTACAGAGGAGAGGACAGACTCAGAAGAACTATACAAACAAAAGGTAGGGTTTGTTAGTAAAAACACTGTGACAACTGTGTTTCACAGGTTCTGAAGCCTGAAAACAAGGCTGTGTACTTTTTTTGATTCAAATCATCCCTATGGGATTGGTGATTCACGATATGTGAATGTCTTCAGGTTGCACTTACAAATATAGATATTATGTTCGCAGTTCAAGGTTTGCTGTTCGAAGTTCTCTGTTCATTGCTGTTTGTTCTCAGCATGATGTTCTGCATGTTTTGTTTATTCTGAATTTAAAATGTTGTTTTTGCAATGTAGTCAGTGGTCATTTTTGCTTTGGAACAAAGAAACTTGGCTCCTTTGTCCAATTTTTATGTTTATAATATTTACGGTTATAATATTAAAATAGTTATTCGATTTTGTTGCAGTAAATTTGATAAGCAGAATTACAAAAACAACGTTAGTTTTATTAGGTTTTCAAAAAACATAAGTTATTTATAACAACACACAATCTATATATGTTTGTCACATTCGTTCCAGGAATAACTTAATGATGTTCCGTTGTTTTAGAATGTTCCAAAACAGTTGGCCGGCTCCGTTGACTGTGTGGGATCTTCATGTTGATGGTGAGGAAAAAGGGAAAGTAAAAAAATCTTTAAATATATGAATGTTATTTTCATAAGAATGAAAACATGAAATGGTTGCCTGAACTTGACTGATGTTGTTTTTTTTTTTTTCAGTATGCTCTGTACATGGTCTTTGAGGCACCCTTTGATTTTACAGCTGTACGTCTTTTGTATAAAAAGATCTATTAACTATATAATATAATCTGGAAAATGGTGGTGCCTTATTCTGATGGAGAATTTTGCCATTGAAAGGTCTCTCTCTGTCTCACTCACTCAGTTTTTTTTTTTTTTGTACATCGGTCTATACATTTAACTTAAAATTAATTTGTTGCAGGAAACATGCTGCAGTTGATGTGCAGGTGCCACTTGAACAACATGACACTGAAATCGCCGACATGGTATGTTTTTATTGTCTCAAACAGGGGCACATGAGAGAAACAGAATTTCAAAACTTTAATTTACATGCTACATCCTGATTAAAACAAGGTATTATTGAGGACACTTCCAATCTGCCCAGGGACAACAGATGAAAATTAGCAGCTAAATCTGGTGCAAACCATCTCTTCTCTTGTGAGAAGTTTATTTAAATTTATTTAAATTTTTTTTTTTTTCGTACTCTTCTCTCATGAAGGAGCCATGGATGGTAAAAGACCTCTTGACCGCAGTTGGATGGCTGTGGAAAAACTGCCATGCCTTCAGAGGTTTTGTGGAAGAGCCGTGGTATCTGAAATGAAACAAGGAAGACCAGGAAAAGGCCCTTCAATTTAATCAGGCGGAAACGACTGATGACCGACAACTGGCCAAAAAGCCTTTCATATTTCGTTTCCAATTCAAGGAAGATATGGACGTTTTTCTTTGCGAGTGTCTGGACAACAGGCACTTCAGGGTTAACTCCATGTTTATGGAGTTTTGATTTATTTTAGTGTTATTTGAGAATTATTGTTAAATGTGTGCCTGCATAACTTCAATTTATTTACTTTATAAATTTTAAAGTAAATTATTTACTATTATGTAGTATTTTTATATAGTATTTTTAATTAATTGTATTTATTTGGAGCAGGTACAGCAGCTCACACTGGACTGAAACGCAAAATAAACGGAGCGTTGCAAATAAATTAGGAGCTATGGCCATGGAAAATATGTATTGCAAAAGTTGTTTTTACTTCATTCTTTTGCAATTCTTTATTTTTGTTTGTAAAAAGCAAATTTATTTTTTTCTCAGTTTCATTTTCTTTTCCAATACTTCAATTCTTTTGCAAGTAAATGTGGCCCTGTTTTGTACTTTTAGTCTGAGGCATAATGCCTTTTCCTCATACGACTGAGGTCAGAGGATCTCCTAAAATGTACACCGTATGTGTGTCGTTCTTCAATGATCAGATCTGCCCACACAGTTTCAGAAGAACCACAAAGTTAACATCCCACACAGTTTCAGAAGAACCAAAAAAAGTTCACATGTCACACAGTGAGCAATCACTTCCTGACTTACTGCATAAAAGTCAACTAAAACGCAGTGCTGCGTTTCACTCCAACTGAAACAGAGTTTGAGTGAAACGCAGCCCTAATGTCTGACAGAAAAGGTTCCTCCACAGTTTCAGAAGAACCACAAAGTTAACATCCCACACAGTTTCAGAAGAACCACAAAGTTAACATCCCACACAGTTTCAGAAGAACCAAAAAAAGTTCACATGTCACACAGTGAGCAATCACTTCCTGACTTACTGCATAAAAGTCAACTAAAACGCAGTGCTGCGTTTCACTCCAACTGAAACAGAGTTTGAGTGAAACGCAGCCCTAATGTCTGACAGAAAAGGTTCCTCCCACTTTCTAGAGACGTCGCACTCTTACAGGAACGTCCACATAAACTCATTTTGACAAACTGAGAAAGACAAAATATATGTCTCATCTGTGGTATAGTTGTGATTTCGATTTTTTTTATGGCTGAACCTAAGATACATGCAGAACATTTATCATGTAAGTTTTCGTAAAAAAAAAAAAAATTATATATATATATAGAGCCAACTTTTGTGTTTTAGATGTAAGTAGATGTAGATGTAAGTAGCCAAACATTTCATATCTGACAGCTGTTTTACGATAGAAATGTTAAAAATAATCAGGAATGCAAACTAATATAATTTCGCCATTTTCAGTTGACGTGATTTGTGTAATGTGTTTCGTAACTGTCAATGTGAGGGGACAAGAAACAATATTAACGAAGCCGTTTTCATCATATATTAGACATATGATTAATAACGAATGGGCACATATTGTGAATTTAATAAACTTTTTTATGTAGCTTTCCTGGTAGCCTTCAATAATGTAACTTGTTTAATAAAATGATTCATAAAACCTATAAATATCAGTCGACCATTTGTTTACTTTGTTCACTGACAAAGATGAAAATGAAAATACTATCAATCAAAGCAGAGAGCTGGTATTGGCAAATAATATACTGCCCACTGACATAGTTTTAAATTGTTATCCAATGTTTGGCCTTCAAACAGTTCCTCTTAAAATTGGCTATGACACAGTATTTTTGTTTGTTTGTGGAAAACTAAACCTAGTGAAGAATTGTTTAGGTCTCTGTATGACTGTGGATATGATGATGATTATGATTATAATTGTATAGTGAGATTATTAATATCATTAAGTTGTTCTACCATGATTACTCCGATTGGTTGATCGCAGGAAAAATAACTTCTCAAAGCTGTTGCTTGTGTTTTGAGACTTTGGGTTTGACTGAATCTGGACCATTCTCAATCTGAGGATTACACTTTAGTAATGTATATAAATGTATTATTCACAAATTATTTAAAAAGTTTTTCATGAGAAAGATGAATGTTGACACCGTGGCTTCACCCGGTTCACTGACAAAGATGAAAATGAAAATACTATCAATCAAAGCAGAGAGCTGGTATTGGCAAATAATATACTGCCCACTGACATAGTTTTAAATTGTTATCCAATGTTTGGCCTTCAAACAGTTCCTCTTAAAATGCAAATATTAGGGCTATCAAAATGGCTGAAAAACTAAATACAAATTTTATACTTAAATATTATTAATAGTACTCGAGTTATATCCAAATTTAAAAGTTATATAAATGTATTATTCACAAATTATTTAAAAAGTTTTTCATGAGAAAGATGAATGTTGACACCGTGGCTTCACCCGACGAGACAAAATACAACAGAACCACCTCTGATCTATAAAATGTTATCTGGCATAGCAAGTCAGCCCTGGGCCCATACAATATGCCCCCCCATATCATATCCTTATATTATAATCACATTGCACTTGAATAAAGTTCAAGGTGTAATCTGCCGATTGTTCTGCAGGTGACCGCATAAATCTGTCTTCTAAGATGCACTTAGGGCTTTACGATTATTCCAGAGCACTCGTAGATCTACGATGATTTTCAAGTGCTACTTAAATTACGATGCTTTTGGGAAACAGACCATAATATTAAGATCAGTCGTACGATCGTTTTTACGAACTTCTTAGGCTTACGAAGCTTTTGGGAAACGCAGCCCAGCTCGGTTAACTTAACATAGGCCCTATTGTTGATTTTTCTGAAGTAAATAACATTACGTGGATCGTGCTTCACAAGCTGTTTTATATACGGTATATTCTTAGGCTAATCTTTTGGGAAACGCAGCCCAGCTCGGTTAACTTAACATAGGCCCTATTGTTGATTTTTCTGAAGTAAATAACATTACGTGGATCGTGCTTCACAAGCTGTTTTATATACGGTATAAATGCTTGGAAATAATATTTAACGTTTTTAAGTCCATTATTTGTAGCATGCAAGCCACCAAATAATCGCAGCTTTGTGCTTTGTTATTACAAAATGCCTACTGTCAATTTTATGATAAAATATATAGAATAAAAGTGTTTTTACGCTCTTTAATTTGTAGTGAGATAATTCACCAGTAGTGGCATATGAATCAATGATATTTTCCTCTTTAACTGTGAGGGCAGATCTGACATAATTGAACACCCACACAAAACTGTGTTTATAGAGGTTTATATGATCAGATTTTCTGCCAGAGAGTGCACAAATACATTCAATTTGTTAGTTTTACTGCTGTTTATTTTATCAGAACTCTCAACAACACATTTATCATTAAACACATTTTTAATTAATCATGCTTTATGTGCCAAAAAAAAAATGTCCGGGGAGCAGTTGGGGGTTCGGTTCTTGCTCAAGGGTCTCACCTCAGTCGTGGTATTGAGGGTGGAAGAGAGCGCTGTTCATTCACTCCCCCCACCGACAATCCCTGCCGGACCTGACACTCGAACCCGCAACCTTCGGGCGATGATTGTTAGAATATATCACGCTCTCTGCCAGAATATTTCTGAGTTTGCCTGTTTGCGTTCCTTCCTCACTTCTCTGTCTTCTCTTTAGTCTTTCCTCTCTCTGTATCTCACCGTATGCATGCATGCGCACATACGTATATCTCTTCTTGGGTTCAAATGGTGAAAGATGGTGGAGGCCTCCTCAGACCCAAGTTATTGAGTTCGGTCTGTCCTTCTCGCAGGGTGAAGATATCATTCTGCCAGATGTACTCCTAATATGTCCAGAACTTCCTGCCCATATTCCCATTTTATATAACACACATATGTAATCCATATCTTATTGGTTGAATTGGGTACACCACCTCTCATAATATGTCTGTATATACCATTGTATAAGACAATAAAAACAAAGTTAGGCAACCTCAGATTTTTTTGTCTGCCTTGCCTTTCTTCCCGCCCGTTACACTCTGGGGGACTGAGAATATTTTGGTGATGACGAGACATAACGGGATTAATTTTTAACAATGTCCAAAAAGCATATTCTGCTTGTTGGTTGGGCCACATGACATTGATTTTGAAAACATACATACATTACATTTCAAACATACAACAATACATTTCAAATGTTAATAAACTGTGAAGAACTTTCTAAGAAATAATAGATGAGATTATAATAATAGAATAATAAGATTATGCCGAACTACTTAAGGTTTTATTTTCAAGAAATTCATTGATTTAACAAACCTGCTTTCTTCATTATATCAGGGCAGTTGTATCAACCTGAAATTTTTGACTTTATGCCACCCAAAAAACATCAAAATGACTTAATACAACCATTAAAAGCATGCACAATTGCACATAATAGAAGAAGTGTATCTCAAGTAATTTATATGTATGCTACCATTCAAATATTTGGGTCAAAAGCCTAAAGCTGCATTTGTTTGATCACAAATACGTTCATTCACTCACCCCACCGACAATCGCTGCCGGACCTGACACTCGAACCCGCAACCTTCGGGCGATGATTGTTAGAATATATCACGCTCTCTGCCAGAATATTTCTGAGTTTGCCTGTTTGCGTTCCTTCCTCACTTCTCTGTCTTCTCTTTAGTCTTTCCTCTCTCTGTATCTCACCGTATGCATGCATGCGCACATACGTATATCTCTTCTTGGGTTCAAATGGTGAAAGATGGTGGAGGCCTCCTCAGACCCAAGTTATTGAGTTCGGTCTGTCCTTCTCGCAGGGTGAAGATATCATTCTGCCAGATGTACTCCTAATATGTCCAGAACTTCCTGCCCATATTCCCATTTTATATAACACACATATGTAATCCATATTCTTATTGGATAAACCACTACGCCAACCCTTACAGTGTATCTATATAATCTACTGATGTAATAATATACTTCGAAGAAGTTTGTGGACAGATACTCCATGTTCATGACTCTTCCCATGGGCTCATGAGTGATGGGAACTGAGAATACTTTGGTGACGACGAGAAATAACGGGGTCACTTAAAGGGGTCATATGATGCGATTTCAATGTTTCCTTTCTCTTTGGAGTGTTACAAGCTCT